AGTTATCAGAAATTTTGCAAAGACAAAATAGGATGAACACTCTTCTTTCAGCCTAAACCCACAGCACATTCTGCCATTCAGACACAGAATCATTCAGGTCCCCAGTTCAAACACCTGTTCTCAACAGGATCAAGACTATTCAGACCAGTTTTTCCAGGGTTTGTCGAGTAAGGTCTTGGAAACTTCCAAGGGTGATGCCTACAGAGTCTACTGGTCCAGTCTAGCCAAGTATTTGACTGTCCTCACGGAGGAGGCAACGGTTCTTGCTGTTCCTGGACCAAACCTCTGCCACTTAGGCTATTTGTTCTTATGGCAACACAACATGACCAATACGAGACAGACAAAAAAGGGGTTATTTTTACTGCAACCCACCTAGAGAAAGCCCTAGCCTTGACTCTCAAAGGGCAGGCAGTGTTTGTAGGTATTGTGTGTTGAGACAGACTACAAGTACAATGTATAAATGAAGGTCTGAAAAGAGTCCTGGCTTACAAACTTTTCAGCACTGGGTACTACAGTGTAGATATATCAAAAAGCTCAAAAGAATGTGATCAACTGCCTGACGACAAAGATTATATCACTAAGTTCTGGTGCTACATTTATTTTGACCTTTTTTATTTTTTCATTTCACTCTTATGAAGAAAAGGTTCATTTAGCTGAATGGAACCTCAGGAAATGCAACAAAGAACAAAGTCCTGCACCTGGGAAGGAAGTAATCCCTGAACAAATATGGGCTGGATACTGACTGGCTTGGGAGCAGCTCTGCTGGAAAGGACCTGAGGGGCCCTGATGAAACTTGAGCTAAATGTGAGCCAGTTTTGTGCCCTGGCAGCAGTGATCACTTCCTTCAATCTGCTGACCTGATAATACAGCCTGACAGCAAATTAAGGAGAACGATCATCTCCCTTTATTTAACATCCATCAGACTAGATACAGAATACCATATGCAGCTTTTAGTCCTACAGTTTAAGAAAGATATTGACAGAGTTTGGCACAGCATCATCAACAAAGGTGGGAGTTGGAGCGCTTGTCCTGTGAGGAGAGACTGAAGGAACCGCGTTTGTTAAGCCTGGGGAACAGAAGGTTTTGGTGAGCTAGAAGGATTTGGGGGTGTTGGTGGATGAGAAACTGGACATGAGCCAGCAATGTGCGCTTGCAAAAGTAATAGAATTTGACATAGAGTAATATTCATGTAGCAGACAGCTTGAAGAAGTGCAGTCTGATGGAAGACTAAAAGAAATAGAGATCTGTTTTTCTTGCTTGTGTAATATTTAATAAGACAAATGAGAGAAACCTGCAGGTTCTCCAAATGTACAAACAAAAGAGGAGAAATTACTGAGGCAAACATGAGGAATATAAAAATAGGAGATAAAATAAAATATTTATAGTAAATATATAGGAAAAAATCAAGACAGCAAGATTGTCTAATGTCTATTGAACATTTCTGCCTGCTGATTTCCACATTGCTTAACACAATCACTCTTTTAAAAAAATTCTGCTTTTCTTACTTTTTGAGTTAAAGAGGAGAAAACTCCTTACCAGGAAGGACCGGCATGGGTAGGAGGTGGCCTGAACAATCCAAATCTCCTTTCTCTAAATCTAACCTCTCATAGTATGAGTCATGTTACACTCAAGCCACAAGGTAACGTACATAACATTAACAGACACACAAATGGGACATTTCCATATGGTAATAACAGTTAAATCAATTACTACTGACAATAAGAAAATATCACTAAGTAAAAAATGTAAAATCAATCAAGCTGTTTGCTGCTGGCTTCAGTAGGAAAGCAGTGAAATCATCTTTCACTTGCATTCCAGCAGGTATCTCTGGATATACTGGGAATTACTGGGAAAGGGATAAAGAATTCATCATCAACTAGAGTTGTACCACAGCCATATGGCCAGATGGGTAGCAACTGAAGTACTTAGCAGCAACACAGAATTTAATTCACCTCCTACTGCAAATATGTAAAAATCTGTTTCGGAAGTTTTCCTTTAGTGTGGATCAAAAATAGTAACTTGAAAATGTACCAAAGTAGAAAGCATGTGACAAAAGCACTTTATTTGACCCTATTCTACCAAAAATATCCTTATTTCCTGTGCTCAGTTTAATCCATCACAATCTACAATCATCTTAGCTATATAATCCAATACTTATTCTCCACATTTGTGTGAGTTTCTGTACTGAGAACATTAGGATGAAAGGATTTAAGAGCCTCTCAACTGACATTTACAGGGATCATGGTTCTTCAGCCTCCCTGTAGTGCTAACCTTACATTTTTTCTCTTATTTCCTCAGTTTAAAAGCTCAATTACAAAATTCCTAACATTAGGAAAACACCATATCTTTTTAAAGACACAGAATCTCTTCTTTAGCAGCCAGGACCTGCCTCATTTGAGCTTCTCTGTAAGGAGTGTCTCTGCTTCCCACCACGTCACAGTGATTAAATAAGCAACAAAACATTTTGAGTGTCTAATGGGGCAACCTGCTAACTAAAATGTGACAAAGGAATGGGATCTTAGACCAGTCCTGTATATAGCAGTAATTAAACATACTACAAAGCAGGAGTTTTACACAGGGCAATCTCTGTGGCTTCCTCACCTGCAGAGATAACCAGATCTGGGGAAGACATACCCTAGGCACTTAAAACACCACTAACACACTCTCTCCCAGGAGTTTCTTAGGAGAGAGAAAGGAGTTTATACTCTGGGAGGTGTTTTATATGATGGCACATATGTGGTTAAGCACTGGCATTCAGTGTGGAGAGTTCAAATCTGAACTTTTAAACATATTTATTTTTACCTCTGAAAACATATGCAGGGGATTCCACACCATGGGAGGAGAGGACTGTAATCTCTAGGATTTACTGCAGCACATGAAAGAGTGCTACAAGCCTTTCACACTGAATATGTATTTGCAGCAAAAACTTTCCTGATACGTAGTGAAAAAAAATGCAGAGATTTGATCAAAGATCTTGATACAGACTAGGTAATAAATATCCTCTTAGGAAAGCCACTGTGCCTTTCAAAAGATAAATCTGAGATGTACTTAAGCACACCTCTCAAACTATTTACAACAATTTGAATAATTTGCATCTAACTAAATTATCAAGACTAAACCCACATTTCTAGCTTGCCCAAAGTTTATAAAGAAGTTGGGCATTGAATCCATGAAATAACTCCCTCTACACACACTGGGTATATAAATGCCTACATTTGTACCACATGATGTCAAATTGAGAACATTCTGAAATTTTCTCAGAATTTTCAGAATATTCTGCAAGGCATACTAAACTTCATGCATTTGAACGGAAAAAACAAAAGAAACAAAATACTGATTAGAGATTTTGTAGAACTTCACATGGGCTCTTTTTATTTCCTTTAATTGTAGCAGTAAAACATTTCCTCAAATGATCTGATCACTAACCCCATTTGGGCTTTGGAGTTTGTCAGAAGCAACTGGAACACTCAGCAAGCTGCAAGCACTGGCAAGCGTAGCTACGTTGTGTAGAGGCAGGTGACTCACATTCAAAGATACCATGACACAGACACCACAGCAGGCCAAATCAGCCTTCATTTTACCTTTCCTTTTTTTTTTGTCCTATAGAGATGTTTACTTTGTAGGTTTCACTCTTAAATGTCTTTGTGAAGTTTATTTGGGCTGCAGATCAACTGTCGTGTACAATGCACCCCAGTACCACTGTGACAATGCATTATGTGTGCATGGGTGTATGACTATAGGGAATGGGACTGGGAGGCAGAGTGCATAACACACTGTTAACCTGGATCATAGAAAATCAACTTCATATACTCTTCCAGATTGTGTCAGGGTCATAGAGACAAAAATGAAGCTTGCACAGATTTAGTCTGTAAGCTAAAAACTTTATGTATAATACACACACATACTGGTGGACAGAATGTTCAAGACAGACATCTTAAACAATCCCAAAACACAAAGCAAACTTACTTAGGTACCTTTTCTAAGACTGTTTCTGATTTATCTTACTCATCAGGTTATGGCTTTTCTCAGGATTCTTCAACCCTTTATTCCTTTTTTATTTGTCTGATCTCACAGTTGACCCAGTTAGCAGCAGGAGATTGGACTAAAGATGTCTTGGAGTCCATTCAAGCCTGCATCTTTCTTTAAGCCTATGATTCCAAAAGGAATGGCATCCTCATCATCTGTTGATCATCCACCTCTCCTACAAATTTTGAAACCTGTTTAGGTGTTCAGGATGCACAACTGAAAACACTTCAAATAAAAAGATAAAAACTCTCTACCAGTGACGTGTCTCCACTTTGGGGTCTAAAAAACAGAACACAAATTTGAAACTCAATTTCCTTTTTCAAGTCAGCATCACTATTTAAGTCTTAGAACACCATGATAAAGAAATTTGAGCATGTTTTTTTATTTACTTATGGTAATTGCCATAAATTGGTTTCATGCTGAAAATCTTAGTATCTATCACAGTTCTCCTTGTATCACATCTACAACAGTTTGGTCCTGATCTATAATATTCAAAATTAATAACATATTTCAGCTTACAGCTGCAGCTAAGAATGCCACGTACAACTAACTTCTTTTAATTTACCCATCACACCAGCAGTGTATGTGCCACTTGCAGAGAGGTTTACAATCATAATCTTTCCTGCCATGTGCAGAACATTTATTCCACCATCAGTATGTTTTTCATGCTGAAGCTCAAATTGTGACCTGTTACAGTTCTTCCATGAGGCACCTCTTTGAAAAAGCCTTGGTACCACGCCAGGAAAAACACAGTTTCACAGTCTCCCAAGGGACTGATCGCTCCCAAACTGAGAGTTATCCTGGAGTCCTCCTATACAGACTAGGACTGAAGTAGTATTCCTGCCTTTCAGCCTTGGCTGGCTGAACAGAGACAGAATTTCCTCTTCAGCTGGGATGAAATAGGTCTTTTTGTAAGTTAAAAATAGGATTTTATTTAAAGAAAGCTCACAAAGATTTTTGTGGACTACACTTACCTCCTGGACAATGCCTCACGGCCATTTTACACCGTCTGGATTCTGCAATGGTTGGGCAGGGTATTGTGTCTTTCGCTGGTTTCTTCACAATTTGTCTTGTTCTTGTTTCCAACCCCCACTTAAATCCACAAGTTTTGTTATTTCTGCTGCAAGTTCCCCACTCGCTCCACTGACCCACTTCACAGCCTTCTGATAAAGCAAAAGAAAAAAGTAATTCTTCTGGTTTGTTTGGGTTTTTTCTTTTTTTTTTAATTACATTGTATACTGTTAGGAAGCAGTACTTGAAAGTTTTACTGTTAACAGGCAAAAATCAGAAACAAAATTAAAATCTTTTACAGAACATGGAAGGATGTTTTTGCTAGCATCAACCTAAGCAAAAAAAAAAAAAAAAAGTCAGACTATCAAACTCTACATATAGATGTCATGTCAATTCTAAATATTCAAAAACGCCCCTAAAATAATGAGATTGACTTATTTTTTTCTCTATCTAGTAAATAACTCCTATTTGGTTGTCATATGGATTTGAAAAGCTCAAAAGTTCACATTTCCAGGTCCTCTCCATAATGAAATGCAAGAGATACTCTTGAAAGAAGGAGTCTGACAGAATTCCTGGAACCTTATGAATTCTGAGTTACAAATCCTCATACAAGGTGATTCTACAATTTAAAGGACAGAACTTTCTGATCCACAACAGAGTGGCATTCCCAATAATACAGCATTTTAAAGTTTAGAAAAATTTAATAATAGTACTAATAAAGAAATCAAGACACAATTCATTAGTGAATATTTCCTGATAAGAAATACTAAGCACCACCTTAAAAACAGTGCCATATTTGAACATGGCCAGCCATCAGCAGCACTGCTGTGCTAGAAGACTCACCCACACATTCCATAAGCTCTTCCAAGGCTGCAAATCCAGGAGGGCATCCTCGAAAGCAGCGGCCTCTGTGCGAGTAAAAGCCAGTTTTGCATTTGGTACAAAAGTCTCTGCTAAAGCAGGAGTCGCAGTTTTCTATTCTGCACCCTGAATCAGAAGGATCATAAGGAACAATGAGACAGGAAAGTTAGGATAACACTAAAAATGAGGGGACTTACTAAGCAATAAAATAGCAAAGCCATAAGTGCTATAATGAGGAATACTGACATCCTGAAATCTATCTGCTTCCCTCCTTCCACTTGAAAGTTACAAAAGAGAAGCCAGCCCCATATGAAGACTCCACATCTTCTGGCATCATCTTCACAAAACTGGACTTTCAAAAGCACTCAGGAAGGATCAGAGAAATCTGCTGGTGTGTCTGATTAGCACATTTCCAAACAGATGACACTTAAAATGTTATACCATACTTCTCACAAGAGTTGTATGTACATACTAAAAGAACAGCCTTGCAACCTCACTGAAATCCATGACAGAGGTCCTAATTGCTTCTAAATGAAAGAGAAGTTTTAAACTAATAAATTTCTTGTTCCATCAGACAGACCAGAACCCATTGTAGTAACTTTAACGGGCAAAATTAATATTAAAAACACTGGAGAAATATAATCTTATCTGCTAAATACGGATTTTTAAATTGAGAAGTGAGAACTGAAGCAGTGCAGTACTCCAAGAGTTAGACAACCTATCTTTCCAGAAGTCTATTTGCAATCACAGGCTGTCACAGGAGTGGCTGTAAATTCACAGCTCCATGACTTCACCTCCCAGGGGAAAGGATGGAAGAGGAGTCACTACGACTTTGCCTAGTGAAGCTAAGCTGGGCTGAAATTAGACAGATCTGCTTTGCTCAATTATCTTCAGTGTCAAGACAAAATAAAGTGAATCAAAAACTTATCCCTTTGACAGAGCTCTGAAATGTTGATTTATGGGACAAGATGCATAACTTCTCCAATGTAAAGCCTATTGATAGTGTGCAATCTCTTAATTTAGTCTGACAGGACAGTAACAAGGTGACTGACTGACACTTCAGTAAAACATGAATGTAGCTTATAGTACGTAAAAGTGCTTCCATGCTTGAGACCAGTTACAGAATATGCTCAAGAATCATAACTCCATGAGCTAGTACTGTGTTACTCCTCAGTAAACGTCAGGAAAACTACCAAACTGAAGGACAATATCCTTTGGTTCTAGAGAGGAGAAAAAAAACCAGCCAAAATATTTCCCTTAAGAAAAAAAGGCCACTGCCATAAAGGAATTCAAGGGCAGAAGTTTGAAACATCTTGAGTTTGTTTTCTGAAAGAGAGTGGCAAAAGATAAGTTATCTACAGGATTTAGGAGCCAAAGCTCCTAAAGCTTAGCTTTCAGGGAACTCTAGAACCTCATGGCACTTCAGAAATAATTTTCTTCAGAAGCACTTTTGCAAGTATGTCAGATTTTGAAAAGAAAAATAATAGCAATGAGCCATGTTTCAGTCAAGGTTAGGGCAACCAATATGATATAGAAGAAGTGCATTTAGCTAGCCAGCAATAAAACATTTTTATTTAGACTCTAAAATCTCATTTATACTGCCATTTACTTGAATATCATAAAAAAATCTACATGGATGAAACTTACAATATTTATAGAAAACTACGTAAATGGTACATTAAACAATTCTGAAAGGACAAAGCTCATGCTACAAATCATGCTCAAATTAGAGATACATTTTAAGAAGATGAATCATAGTGATATTAAAAGATTTTCATGACCTGCTTTGGCTTCCTGACAGTCATGATAAGCCACTGCTACTCATTCTTCTTCTAAAACGAACATTAAAGACTTGATATACATTTCAGAGAAGGAATCAAAAGCTCAGGAGTTCAAAATACAAATTTAGATATAGAATTAAGTTTAAGCTCAGGTGCCATGTCCCTGTTACTGTAAAAGAAGAGTATATGCTCCTGTAAACAGCTTCTCTCTCTGCTATCACTACAGAGAGTACAACATTACCACAACAAATACAATCCTTCCATTCTAAATTTATTGCCAGCTTATAAGGAGATGCAGAATAAGCTGAATTGTAGGCAAATATGATGCCTTTGAAAATAAAGAATAAAATGCTCCATATTGGGATGCATGTACTTTGCATTTTAACACATCTTAAGAAGATTAGTTTCTCATACTAAGTGTAATATGATGAATTTAAGTCAAAAGATATGTGTCTTGAATACATTTGTATCTTGCTCATTTGTAAAGTATTTTACTGATATGCATAATCTTGAAAATTTTAAGGGTCTCATTTTGCATTTATGAAATATCTATATTTTTTAGCATTTCCATTGTCACACTGTCCCTTTCTAAACATAGTAAATGTGATTTACTTTACATTCATAACTCCCTTCATAACAAAGGTACTTTGTAGTATGCACAGTGGAAAAGAGAGGTGTTCAATTCCTAGTAATCTTAATAACAGCAACGAATCACAGCAAGTTCTGCTCCGCATGAAATCCAGAGTCCAGTGAAGACCAGTTATGTATCGGAAAGAGAAGTGAGAACACTTGAGGGGATCTGCATGAGTGGAAACCAGCAAACACCAGTGTATGAGAGCTGTCCTGAACTGTGCTCAATGCCTGCAATACTGAGAGAAAATGATCGTATTTTGCATAAAGAAGATGCAGACTAAAGCTACAAAGGAAACATGGCATTCCTAAATCAAAGGGTTTTGCAGTCTTGGAACTGGAATTGGGTCCTTGCTTGAGGTGTTCCCTTCTATTTAAGAAGTCAAAGTAGTAGATGATGATGCACTACACTGCTACACCTAATACTTTGGTCTTTCACCCTGAGCTCTGGCTCACAGCACCTTGCTCTTCTTGCCTCAGATCTCTCTGTCTCTTCTATAACTTCACCTATTCCCAGTCTGCTCCCATGACCATGACACTCACTTTTCCAACTCCCGCTCCCATTCCTCAGCTGCTCACTGCAACAGCACTGGTGCTACAGATCTATCTTCACGCTACCATCCTGATGTGTCCATTGGCACTCCACATCAACCTGTCAACTACACCACCTCCTGTGCTAATCCTCTCTAGAATTTTGTGGTAACTGAACCCCCTGACTGCTACAATTGCACTAACTACAACAGTCTCAAAAGGTCATATGCTCCACCATACTACAGAAGTATAGTCAAGCCAGGATATATTAATGATGTCTTGCTATTTTGTACCAATGTTAAAAAATTCATTACCTTTCTGTCGTGGTTTTGCCCTGGTTCAATTTACTTTGCCCGCATTCTCCACCAAAAATGTCTAGGAAGACTAGGCCTTCCTTGGTGACCAGGTTGTAACCAAGGAACCAAGGCCATGTTCCCAGTATTCCATACGATTTTTTACGTAAGCAAGAGTATAAATAAGAAAAGAGAGGAAACTCTCGCTCTCTTTCTTCCGGCGGACCGAAGGCGAAGGTAGCTTTGCTGTCGCTCTGCCCGGGCGAGGGAGTGAGGCCTAGCGCATCTGGTTGGCCTTGAGAGGCAGAAAGTGCCGGCGGTTGTGTGGTGCGGTTCGCTATCTCTGGAGGGAAGTATTTGCGTTATATCCCTTTTTATTCCTTTTCCCTTTTCCCTTTCCCTTCCCTTTCCCCTTTGGGGGGTTCTCTGTATATAATTTTCTTTATATATATATATATATATATATAAATCTTCCACTTAAAATTCAGTTCGGTTTGGGTTCTTTTCATTTTCTTTTTTGTGATCTTTTCGATCAATTACACGAGAGTGAGAGGGAGGGAAAAGGCTTTGTCCCTGAAGTCCGGGCACTTGGCTGGGAGCCAAGTCCAACCTGGGACATTTTCTTAATGTATTCAATTAACTATATGTGCTTAATAAATGCTCAATTTGTTTAAAAGCTGCTATTTATCTTGTTTTTAGTGAAGACAAATGGAAAGGGAAATTATAATTTTAGCCATGCCAGACCCTCCTAGGAGAAGATGAACCTAAGCAAATCGAAGTAGCCAACCAAAGCTGAACGGAGCTGTAATTTCTATACTGAGTGGTTCTTCCCCCTAAAATTATAAAGGTTACTTCAACCACAGACTAAGCTGAAAGACTCAAGATAGGCTTGATCCATTAATTAGTCCAACCATTAAGGTGACAGATTTCATCTTACTCTTTAATTCAGTTTCCTTTTTTTCTCATGAGATTATCTCTTGAGCAGTTTAGTTCAAAGTCATTAATTATTAAAAATTTCTTGGAAAATTAACAAAGTGAAGCTCTTCTCCTGGGCATTCTTCTAGAGCAGAAACTCAACACTTTCCCATCTCATGTCCAAAAGCACTGCATTCTCATACTGTAGTGTTCAAGGAAATCACGTCCAGTAGGAGACTCTACATTGATTTCTAGAGACAAGTAGTCTCAAATTTCATTATTCGCTGCTACTAAAAAAACAGTCTAGAACTAGTTAGAAAATTCAAGACACACATACTTCTTACATGTAGAAAAGAAAATTTTTCTTGAAATCCAAAATTGCCATAATTTTAGACCTGCTGCACTTGGCTGTGGTATTTATTGTGTTACATTTGGCACTATGTTTGGCTTTTAAAATCATGTCAACATTTTCCATAAAAATATGTTCTATAGCTTCTCTAACGAAAATGACCAAGTGTTCCAGTAATAAAACATTAAAACAGCTTTTGTGCCTATAAAGACATTAATAGGGTAGAAATCATTTCAACTAATGTAATTCAAGCCCTATAACTCCCAGAAGGATTTTAGCACAGCCAAAGCTTTTATTATTTTTAGCTGAGATAGAACTGTCTGAGCAATGCAGTCTGTACTAAGCATACCTAAGAGTATCTAACATCAAGTAGGAAGCAACCTATTCTATCTTTAAGGATGTTTATTTCAACTCAACTTCAATCCACAAAAAGTCTTTATGTCCACAATGCTTCCTATGTGCCATGCAGGATCACCAAACCAAGAAAAAAAATGAATATGTGATTTATAAATACACCAGTTGGCAGTTACACTAAAATAAAAATATGTAATGCAAAAATCATTACAGGGGAACGAGGACTGGTCAGTAAATGCAACTGCATCATTATTCTCACAGAAGGAGACTGTGAAAGGTATGAGGGTGAGATAAATACCAAGAGCTCAACACATGCCAATATGAGTTGGACACAACTCACATTTATGCTTTTCAAAATCAATCCTGTAATTCAGAGAAAAAGACCGCTTCCCGTAAGTGGTAAAAACGAAAAAATGCTATATTGAATTCACCCTCCACCTTCTGCAATTAACTTTTCTATTTTTTTCTTTTTAAGAAAGTAAAGAATACTGCTAGTACAGCCTACCTTTCCTATCTCAGAAACACAGTACAGGCTAATACAGACAAATTAATCTATTTCCCAAACCTATAAATGTATTCAAAAACATTTTTACATGAGGAAATTTTCATAGGCCAATTTTGAGAGGTTTCAAGTAAAGAAGTTGTTCAATTTGCAAATGGGTTACGAAAATTAGGGCCAAGGTTCTAAATTACTTTACAGAATGGATTCATAAACCATATCCTGCTCTCATTTAATTTTTTCATCAAAACCTAACCACTTAGTACAGATTAGGCAGCACTGTGCAATATTACACAGCAGTTGGGAAGAATACTATATCCATGGAGCCCACGCAGAGAATGGGGAGGAAGAGGTGGGATGGGTTGGGACGGCTCCAAGCATGGTCATAAGTGCTCCTCATCCAGCACAGAGCCACTGAGTGCCTTCACTTGGGTCTCAAGACTATGTGTGATGTGAGAGCCAGCACATGCTTCTCACAACATGGTGCATCCCAGTGACATGGCACAGCACTGAGGGGAAAGTGCTGCACGTTTAACAAACACTTGATTATTTCAGGAAACAAAGAAAAGCTGTTTCTCACTTCAGGTTCTTAGGTTTGGTGACCTGATTCTGGTTAGACTATGACAAAAACATTCCCCCCCTAAATACAAATTAGAGGTAATAGCAAAGATTAATAATCCATATGGGCAATATTCCACATATGAGCATATGGAAAAATCAATATGAATCGGCACAACTGCCAGACAGAGGTGAAATAATGTGAGATACCAGAACACTCGTTGATTTTAACAGTTGGGCTTCTAGGCACAAACATGCAAACAGGGAATCTTGTTGCACATTAGCAGGTTGTAAATTTCCAAATAAAATGCTTCACTAAAAGTGAAAGGTTTTTTGTTTGTTTTTAATAGTACATCTGTTTTATTAAATTAGCAACACTTACATATTAAAGCATGTCTGGTGTGAGGTGTCTGGTCACCTGAAATTTGTGTGGGAACAAAAAGTATGACAAGAAGCCCACCCATACATTAGTGTAAGCAATAACTAGTATCTACATGAGGCACTGTTAAAATCATTCTTAATCCTCGTTTCTCAAAACTAGGAGTATCTGCTAAAACCATCATTCTTTCCTAAATTTCTCTTCTAACTAAAACAGTAACAACAATAAAAGTAACAACAACAATAAAAATTAGGTCAATGCATCAACTATTTAATCTGCTGAATGTCACATATCTTGGAATGAGCTGAGGCATTCTTCAGCAAAGAAGTCTTATGATGATCTTGAGAACTCTGTGAAAATATCACTATGTTCCATAACATGCCATCTTAAAAACTGAGCATGAATTATGGTCTTCCTACAAAAGCAAATGTAAGGGTTCAAAAAAATGACTCACTTGAACATCTGTTCATATCTGGCGTTCGAAGTCCATAGTACCCCGATGGGCAGGAATGCAAGCATTCACCATATTGTCTCATTCCTTCTCTTCGTAGGAAGAAGAATAACTTGTGTTGGCATCTGATGCACCCATTATCCTTTGAACAAGATAAACAACCTTTGCAAATTGGATTTGGTCCATAGCTAGCTGCAAAATAAGAAGATAAATTACACTTTAAGATCGTTTGAAAATTGTTTTGGCTGGAGGCCTTCTTCCCTCTAAGGTGTTACTTATCTTCTGCATGACTACAAGAAGTTCTGAAGGGGCAGTTCTGAAAGTGCACTCAGTTTGTACATCTGTAGTTGCACTGAATAAAAAGAAATGCAATCTCTAAATTTTTAACTGTATGTAGAGCAATTCAATGAATTTACACACAATCCAGGTACAGGCTAGCAGAGACCAAGCTTTATAAAGTTCACCAGTAAATTTTAAGTAAAAATGCTTTGTTGGATTCCAGTTTGAAGCTCGGGGCATAAGCATGCAACAGCAACAAAATATAAGAACTTCAGCACCCTGATATATCCACCTGGAATCACATGCCCATGGAGTCCAGCAACACCATTAGTGCAATTTCTGACTTGTGAAGGAAGCAATACTGGGAGTAGAAGAGTCTCTGGAGAACAGGTACAGCACTAGCAATGTGTGCTGTCCCTAGGTCTCAGGGTCCTACAACAGCTGTCTCCTTGCAAACTCCTCTTGATCTAATAAGAATATCGAGACAAATTTTTCAAAAAAAGAGTAGCAGTTTTAACTTTGAAGAGCCTTTTTCTACAAGTTTCTATCCAAAATGGGCTGAAAACCATATTCACAGACATTACCAAAGGAGGTCATTTAGTGCAGATTTCCATTTCAGGTCACCAGCTGCTGTGCATTCAAGGCTCTGCTCTGATTTTGTTGGATTATTTTCTTTTTTTTCTTTGAAGTTACTTGGGTGATAACTGCATCACAAACTTCAGATATATCACTCTTTGTCCTTATGAGCTTTTATTATTCTGCCTATCTGCAGAATTGCAGAACACTCCTCTGTCCCCATGGGCTGTCAACTCCTTCTCAGGGGTTGGATCAGCACAGCAGGTTAGCAGAGGGAGGATGGCTCAAGACATTCCTGAAAACAGCATAATGTAACAGGTCTGTATTAAATATTAAATTGGCCACAGGACTTCAGAGAAATTTGTCAGTTCAAACCTGGTTTACTGAAAACAAAAGGAAAATACTATGCAATGGAGGAAAGTGTCATTGGGGTCTCAAAGGTTTTTTAAACTCAAGAGTTTCTCAGAGAGCAGCTGGCCAAAAGAGCAAAGACTATGTTTAATTGTTATATTTTTTAATATTTAGAAGTATTCATACCCTAATGCAGTGATCTGGTACTTTTACCTTGTATGGCTGGATAACTGAGGTTGTTCAATTGATGACTTCACCAGAAGAGCCAGGAAAAAAATAAATAAAAAAGGAAAAGTCCACTTCCCTGTGGAACCAGTAGCTGATAAGCTTTACTCTCACCTTCACACATCTGCACACCACATTCCCATTCCCTCTCTGCTCTCATTCCTCCCCCCACAACTCTCTTAAGTTCAGCATAACAGCATTCAACTCCGATCTTGCACAAAATAATCCTAGTGGGTGGCAGGCAGGACAAGAAGCCAAGCAACCTGGTGTGAAACAGCTCAGTCAGTGGGACATTTTCTGAGTATTGGAGTCCTCTGGCACCAGTCTCACCTGATGAGATCCTCTTGACAGGAATCTCATTCTCATCCTTTGCGGTGTATGTGTGACTCTTCGGCACTCCGTTAACCCCTTTGTAATGAGACACTCTACCAGACCAACTGCCCTGTACTCCTAAACCAGTTCCCACCTCCTGTTGTCCACAAGACCCCAGATATAACTTTTCCTACAGTTCAACTTGTAGCTATTCTCATTCAAAATTCACATATTGAACAACAGGAAAGAAGAGAAACAAGCAGATGGTGAGCTAGGCCTGGATGCATCCCTCATCTCATTGCCAGCAGGGACTGCCTGTCTGTAACCACATCAAATAATATGTGACCATGTACTCCAAAGCAATTGTTGCTCAACACATGGTGGGCAAGTCCTGTAGACTTCTGAATTCCCTTTTAGCATGCTTGCATCTCACACTCAGTAAATCTGTACGTCCAGCTTACTCAAGGTTCCTTAGAGAAGCTTGTATTATAAGAAAAGAATTAAAAGGAACAAAGCAAAAGCAAAGATGCAAGATGCCTGAATGGATTCACCACTCAGAATGCTTCTGGGAATTTGAAACAGCTGAAATCAGGATCTCATATACAGCATGAATATGTTTTTGACTTAGGGTCCAGCCAATTGCTGAACATGTATATGGAGATATATTCATATGGACACAGATAAAGGTTATACACATGGATATAGCTAAAGGGAACAAAACAGCAGGCTGTTGCCAACAGACAGGGTAAAACTATCTCAAAGGGGGAAAAAGATCCTTGTACAGGAGTTATCAGGGCTCACTGAAAGAGCTTTAAACTAGCTGTAAAAGGAGAAAAGGATAAATCAAGGGTCACTAAAGATAAGTCCAGGGGCAGTATGCCAGTGTCTGAGGGACAGGGTGCTAGCAAGGTCCTTTGTATCCCATCTCAAGGGAAGTAGGGGATGGAAATACATTTAGCAGTGAAGATGCAAGGGTAATTTATGTGTTAGAAACCATGAAAACAGCTAAGAATAGTCACATAGGACTTAGGGCTTCTCCCCCATAAAAAAGGTGCTGAGATCAATAGAGCAGCTGAAGTGCATCTGCGCCAATGCATGCAACATGGGTAACAGGAGGAGCAGAAAGTCTCTGTACAGCAGGAAAAGTATGAGATGGTTGCCATCACAGAAACATTGTGAAAGGAGTCAGACAACTAGGATGTTGCAATGAATGGCTATAAACTCCTCAGAAGGGATGGGCAAGGGAGGGGAGGTGGTGGGGTAGGCTTGTATGTTATGGGATGTTTTTGTTGTCTAGAGCTTGATGATAGCAAGGATAGGATTCAGTGTTTGTGGGTAAGAATCAGGAGGAAGGCCAACAAGGCAGGTATCATGGTGGGAGTCTGTTACAAATCACCCAATGAGGATATAGAGACAGACGAAATATTCTCTAAGAGGCTGGGAGAAGTCTCAAAATCCTCACCCTTGTTCTCATGGGGGATTTCAACTTACCGATGTCTGCTCATAATACAACACAGCAGAAAGGAAAGAGCCTAGGAGATTCCTGGAATGTGAAACAGGTGACTTCCTGACACCACTCGTGATGGAGCAAACTAGGGAAGGTAACGTCTGGACCTGTTGTTTGGGAATAGAGACAGACTTGTGGGTGATGTGATGGCTGGAGGCCATCTTGGGTATAGTGATCACCAAATGGTAAGAGCTTTTGGTTCTTGAGGAAGTAAGGAAGGGGGTCCATAAAATCTCTGCCTTGGACTTCTAGAGGGCAGACTCTGGCCTGTTTAGGAGTCTGGTTAATAGTGTCACTTGGGAGGCAGTCCTGAAGGTCAACAGAATCCAGGAAGGTTAGACATCCTTCAAGAAGGAAATCCTAAAGGCACAGGAGTAGGCTGGCTCCATGTGTCGAAAGATAATCCAGTGGCAAAGAAAACCAGCCTGGCTAAACATAAAGCTTTAGCCAGAACTCAGGAGAAAAGAGAGCTTATAATGTTTGGAAGAAGGGGTAGACAATTCAAAAGGACTACAAGGATGTTGTGAGGTTACACAGGGAGAAAATTACAAAGGCCAAAGCCCAACAAGAACTTCATCTGTGCACTGCCATAAATGACAATAAAAAATATTTCTAAAAATGCATTAGCAACAAAATAAGGGCTAAGGAGAATCTCTCTTCTTTATTGCATGTGGGTAAAAAGTGTGACAAAATATAAGGAAAAGGCTGAGCTCCTTAACGTCTTCTTTGCCCCAGTCTGTAAGAGTAAAACCCAGTGTTCTCCGATACCCAAATCCCCGAGCCAGAAGACAAGGACAGGGAGCAGAATGAAGCCTCCATAATCCAAGAGGAAATGGTCACATTTGCTACACCACTTAGACCCACCCAAGTTTATGGGGCCAGATGGAATCCACACAAGGGTACTGGGGGACCTGGTGGAAGAGCTTGCCAAGCCACTTTCAATCATTTACTGGTGAGCTGGGGAGGCCCCAGCTAACTGAAGTTTGGGAAATGTGACACCCATCTACAAAAAGGGTCAGAAGGGGGATCTGGAGAACTACAGGCCTGTCAACCTGACCTCAGTGCTGGGGAAGATCATGGAGCAGATCATCTTAAGTGTCATCATGTTGGACATACAGGACAACCAGGAGATTAGGCCCAGCCAGCATGGTAGGAAAGTCAGGTATTGCTTGTCTGACCTGATCTCCTTCTATGACAAGATGACCCATGTAATGGACAAAGGAAAGGCTATGGATGTTGTCTACATGGATTTTAGTACAGCCTGAAACACCATTTTCCACGGCATTCTCCAGGCTGCTCATGGCTTGGATAGGTGTATTCTTCATTCAACAAAAAAAGTGGCTGGATGACCAGGCCCAGAGAGTAGGGCTGAACAGAGTTGGCAGCTGGTCACTAGAGTTCCCCAGGGCTGAGTACTGTTTAACATCTTTATCAGTGATCTATCAATGATCATCAGTTTACAGATGACAAGTTGGGTGGGAGTGCTGATCCGTTGGAGAATAGGAAGCCTCTGCAAGGGAATCTGGACAGGCTGGATTAATGGGCGGAGGCCAACTGTTTGAGGTTCAGTAAGGTAAAGTGTTGGGTTCTGCACTTGTGCTGCAACAACGCCATGCAGTGCTACAGGCTGGGGGAAGAGTGGCTGAAAAGCTGCTGGTGGAAAAGGATCCGAGTGTGCTTGCTGACAGATGGCTGAATATGAGCCAACAGTGTGCCCAACAGGTGGCCAAGAAGGCCAAAGGCATCCTCGCCTGTATCAAACATAGGGTGGCCAGCAGGACCAGGGCAGTGATTGTCCCCCTGTATTCATCACTGAGAGGCTGCACCTCAAATCCTGTGTTCAGTTTTGCACCCCTCACTATAAGACACTGAGGTTCTGGAACATGTCCAGAGAGAAGGGCAATGGAGCTTGTGTAGGGTCTGGAGCACAAGTCTTATGAAG